GGAATGAGAGAGTTTGTGTACATGGTCACGTATTACCCCATTTTTGTGTTTGTGCAGGCGGTGTTTATAGGCCATTTAAGGTAGGCCTATACCGTATTTGAAATTGTGGTGTGGTCAATAAAGAGAGGCCTTGTTACGAACTTTTAATCTAGAAATTGCATCAAAATGTTATCTTTTTCATTTTAATTACCGCACGACTACACACGTGATTTTTGCAATTGCAATTCTGAACATAATATTGTAAAAGATAAGATAGGCCTAGGCCTATATCTTGGAAAGACCTCTTTCATGGTAAAATGATTGCAGCTATCATTTTACGGTATCATCTGACCACAGTTCGAGCACTTTAAGTGCGTTGTAACATTTTGCTTTATTGTAAATATAGAAACTGGCGTCTTAAGTAATTTCGATCTGATGACACAGGGTTTTCTTTTCCCGTGAATTCTCTCTTTCTTCCGTACGTAATGTCCCAATGGAATTGCCTAATGGGCGACCCTAGTGAATTCAGCCCCGGGGAGACCTAGAGAGTGTCACATAATTTCGTATCTGAATCCCAATGGTGGGACTAAGTTGTTCGGGGCCGTCCATATGTAAATGGATCCACACCGCCACTGAATTGCGAGAAGACTAATGCATCAAATCAGAATCAGTATCAAGATAACATCAACAGAACTATTATGTGGAAAGCCTATTCTACTTTGAAAACCAAACAAAACTAATTCAGATATCGACCTCTTGCATTCCTGATATGAAGATATATTTGGCAGGGTCATGTATTGCATGGAATAGGCCTAACCAAGAAGGATAAGCAATATGTTGTATTTTCATTATTTCAATAATGTAACCAAGTAATGACGCCTGTATTTTGTCAAAAAAAAAAACATGAATTTGTGGAAATTATCTTGATACGCTGGTGGTAATGTGGAAGAGAAACTTTTATCATAGGCCTACTTACGGTTAGAATAAAAATTATAAAATAATATAGTATTGATGATATTAATAACAATAACAACAACAATAATAATAAGGCTGATGCAATTATAGCTGAATTCTAATGACAATGATGTCGATGTAGATGATTATGATAATGATGATGATTATAGATATTATAATATTTTCTTGCTTAGGCCTATGGTGGTGATTGATAATGATGCTGATGACACTGGTGCTGTTGTTGATTGCGTTGTTTTTGTTGTCGTTGTGTTGAGTTGTTGTTGTTGTTGATGATGATGATGATGATGATGATGATGATGATGATGATGATGATAATAATGATAACGATAATAATAATAATGATAATGACATTTTCGATGATAAATATATTTATGCCGATCGTTATCTCTGTTATGCATACACGCTATGAACATGATGACCTGCAGTCGAAACTGATCCAAAAGATATCTAGCAACACATGCGTACAGCTCAGCATGTCATCATTCGATTCGTCTCAATCTCGAAATGACGTCAGATGTAGCACTGATCATGTGGAGAAACCAACTATTGAATATGGGTGTTCCAGTTAGTGACTCGAAGTGCCCACCAATCAACTGATGGGTGTTCCCAGCTAGCAAACGTAGTGTTTTATTATTATTGCTTTGTTTAGCTTCAATTGAATTGAGGATGAAGATAATGAATTTCTTTTACAACTCGTAAAGATTCAAGTATTTAACATATTCTACTTTCGCCTGCCTTAAAATGTGGACCACTTCGTATTTGGGAAGGTTGAGTACGCCCCCTCCCCAATACTTCCCTTCTTCAGTCACCCTATCGAAGCAAAAAAATCACGCTTAAAATCACCATTAATTTGCGAGCTATTGTCCCTTATCCCCCACCTTTCTCGCCTCCATCGCCCCCCCCCCACCATTTTAAGACTATAGATACACTACTGCACATCGTACTCTCAAATACCATGAATTCCTGCGCATTCTATAAATATTTTCTTTTTTCTTTTCAGATATTTACCCAAATGTATTTATCAAAAGTTTGAATTGTATAAAAGTTTAAAAAAAAAAAAAGTACACAAGAAAAATATGAAAGGTATACACTCAAAAGTCAAAAAAGAATGATCACATCTAGATAATTATAAAGACCACCATGCCCGTAATAATATAGGCCTGTTATAGCCGGTGGGTAGTGTAAATTTATACACCAGTATATTTATTACTCGTTATAGTAATCGTTATGTTTGCCAAACGGTTAAACGAGGCAACAACAATAAACAAATTGAACGAAAGTTTACAGGTTAAGTTAGGAAGAATATTAATAGCATTTAGTATTAAGGGTCCATTATTATCATTATTGGGCTGATAAAAATAATATTTTATCATTGAAGTTACTATTATAATTGTTAACATTATTTTATTACTATCGTTATTATTTATCACTATTGCTTATATTAGGCCATTTAATAACAATTAATTACATTTTGATGATTGATATTATTATCTTCCTACGCTTTGTTTGTAGCCCAAATGACTAAATACGTAATTTGAAAACTTGCTTTATAATACTCACTAAAAGAGATAGTATAGAATCTCTCTGCTCATATATGACCTTTACCGTAGACTACTAAATGGGAAAATACATCGCAAATAATATCTTTGCTATCATTATATTCCTGAGACTTTTCGAACTTGGGTGGGACGAAATTGCGTATTTGACGACGGTGCGCGCGACGGGAATAACAGAGGAACCAGTGTTCTAACGTAAGATCAGTTGGCGTTCTGTCACATAGCCATGCCGAGAAATTAGCTATAATTAGTTAATCTTTGGATATGGAGAGATGGGAGGACAATTCCCTGTTGTTGTCAACTTTTTATCATAGTTGACGATTCAATTCAAAAACTTACGTCTGGCTAGTTTTCAGTAAAGTATACATAGGCCTGCAGTATTTGCACTGAAAGCTAGAATAGCCTTATTGCCGATAACATTACAGTATTCAATAATGATGAATGAACAGTGTTCAACGAGTGATTTAAAAAAAACAACAAATTAATGATTGGGCAATTGGTGGTGGTGATGACGATGTGATGAAGATGATGATGATGATAATGATGTTTATAAAGTTGTTGATTGGATGATTATGAGGATAAAGTGATGATAATGATTATAATGAAGTTGATGATGTTGATGAATGTAATAACGATGGCGTTGATGATGATTATTATAGGCCCCTAATGATAATTATGAGGATGATAATTATGATGATGATGCTGATGACTGGTAGTTTTATATTAAATTGAAATAATTATTAAAATTCAAGAAGGTTTCCTTTCGGTTCTTTTATTAGATTTCATCCAATATTAATATGCATTTTTGCCGTTGGTGGGAGGGTGCGGGGTGTGTGGAGTGCTGGGCAAGGGGTGCAAAGCACCAATCGAGGACACTCTGAGGGTCCGGGGCATGACCACTTAATAGCTCTAGAAATATAGAGTTTAGCCATTGCCCTGATAATACAGGCGGCTAGGCCCCATCTAATTAATTTCAATCTCCAGAATGTTGCTGCCGGGGAGAAGGGTGAGCGCCACTGTTCAATTACTATATTAATAGAACATGTCTATTTTTGGTATCACTACGAGTAGATTTAAATCGACTTTTAATTTGATTAGAAAAAAAATGTTATCTAAATTTGTTTAATATTTATAATGTTATGTTGTAAATACAAAATATAATTAAGAGGTTAAATTGGTTACTGTATATTATGGGTTAAAGAAACACCAACGAGTATTCTTCTAGAATTTTAGTAGATAACATCATAGAATGTTACTAATTTGCTATAAAATGTCTACAAATGAGTTTCGCTTATCCTATGAATTGAAGATAAGCCGACATAGACCTAAGATTAGATTCTGTTGATATAAACTATGCATGAATTACAAACGCGGCTTCTGGTAGTTCTTGTTTGGTTATACACCTGTTGAGGGGTGCTTCTAAACAATCTAACCGGCTGGAGTGGGGCTACAAGGCTAATTATTTTTTTACAAGCGATACATATTCGCATTAAGGAAGATGAACTGTGAAAACGCCCAGATGGAGATCTAGGTCCATAAAGCGAGTGCGGAGGAATTTATATATTTAAAAAATGCACGCAAATTGCGCATACCCCCGGGGTATATGTGTAATTTAGCTACTGTATCTACTTTAAATTGATTTTGTTATTTGGATTTCATATGATTGGAATAGATTTTGAATGGTAATTTGTACAAACTATGGAACCATGTAGGGAAGATAGAAGCCCACGCAGTAATGGAGCAAAACGAAGCAGTGGGGGCTTGATCATCCTCTAAACCAGCTCAAAGATCACCACATCGCCACTAATTGCTAAGTTTGATGTGTATTATCATAGCAGAGATATTGTTTTGCTTGCCTAAGCTTCGGAGGGAATCGTTCATCGATTGATTCACTGGTGACCTTGAGGTTCATGGTCAATTAATATCATCTTCAACGTCATATCATTATCATGACTGTAAACTTGAATTGCAGTATCGAATGTCATTATTTTGAAGAATAATAATATCACTAAAACTATCACTAAGAAACTATTAAAACCTATCAAAAAGTTAATAAAAAGCATGTAATAATTATAATTTAAATACTGTCTTCCAATGGGATAGACAACAAAAATTATGCCCTCTTCCACACTTTATTGGCGAAGTGAATTTATCTCAATTGTGATTTACCGTAAATAATGTGAAAGTACCGTAACTCGTTTAAATAATAATTAAATAATTTAAAATTAATATATTATTATTATTATTATTATTACTATTATTATTATTATTATTATTATTATCATTATTATAAAATAACAATACCGACATTCAAATCAAGATTATTATTCTAGACTTATGGCCTACTTCTTTCTGGTTACAGCCTGATAAAGCATCGTAGCGAAATATCAACAAACAATTTCTTACCATTGTTTGTTTATGGTACCGGATTTGTTCATAAGCAAGTCCTTCTCACCCAGAGGCTATATAATAGGAGCATATGATCAACTGATTAAACGACAATCTATGTATTAGTTGACAATGAAGTTAGGTGACGTGACGCCTAACTGCAGTCAATCCCAGTGTCATTTTACAACCGTTCATTCTTTCCTGGAATATGGAATTCTCTTGATTCAAAACTTCTCAGAGTAGTTACTGAAAAAGACCGATCTTTGGCTTCAGATGTATGTGGTTCATGGGTCAGAACTTAACCCGTGTTTCATTTTATTTGCTTAAATAAATGTTTTGTGTCAGACTAGGCGCTGTTCAAATTGACAAGACCTGTGTCCATCTTGACAATGAATTAGAGGTGTATAAAAGGGTGTCAACACTTACTAAAGAAATTTTTTTTTCTTACTCATTTTCCTGCAGAAAACTTTATTCACCCTCATTTTTTGTTGACTGATAACAAAGATTCACCATTGTTATTTTTACGCCCTAACTCTATCCATTCTAGGTGGCTTGCACACAATGTCTTTAAAACAGGGGTCGGAGGGCCAAAGTGAAATTTTGATTCAACTCCGAGGGCCGCACCTAAAATTTGATGTTTCAGTACACTTCCAAAAACCTTCATACACTGTTTTATGGGCACTTTATGCTCAGTTTTACTATTACTTTTTACAGATGATATGTGCCAGGCCGCAAAAACAATGTTTTTTCTAGCCAAATGTGGTGGGGGGGGGGACCGCACACATAGGGTTAGTAAATTATTCTCGGGGGCCGCAAAAAAAATCACTAGCGGGCCGCATGCGGTGCTTGATTATTGACTATCGTACCACGAATTGATAATAGCGACTAGGTCAAATATTGCACCAGCACGTCGTAAAATGTTACCATATCAAATATTGTACCAACAAGTTGTAAAAAGAGACTATGTCAAATATTGCACTGTCGATTGGAGTGACAATGACCATGTCAGATATTGCAGAAACCCTCAGTAACAAATGACTAGGTCAAATTTTGCACAACCTCTCTGTATTGGTAATAAAGTAACATGTCAAATATTGTACCAAAACTTGGTAATAAGTGACTATGTCGAATTTTGTTCTTCCACTTAATATCCAGCAAACACAAAACGTTCTTGTAACACTTGCGAACGTTGTGCTTAGGTATGTCACAAAATAAGCCTAACGTTCACACAACGTTGTAAGGACGTTCAAACGTTGTGAGGTTGTGAAATTAGGTGATAAGGACGTACATATGGTTCTACAAAGTAACGTTTTTATCACTAAACTGTAACGTTATTTTATAACGTTCTTAGAACGTAATATTGTTAGTTGGTTACTAAGTGACTATGTTTCTTGAACACCGCACCAACACTTCGTAATGTGACCATGTATAATATTAGACTAATACTTTGCAGTATGCGACCATGTCGAATGTCATTCCAGCACTTGGTACTAAGCGACTATATTACTTTGAGTATTGCACCAACTTGGTAATAAGTGACCGTGTCGGATATTGTTCCTCCAGTTGGCAAAAAGTAACTTACTGTATGTGAATATTGCACCAAGAAATTGGTGATAAGTGACCGTGTCTAATAATAAACCAACACTATAATAACAATAAGGACATTTATTATATTATTTGTATATGATTCCTTTTAGTGATGGACCTCTTCGAAGTGTTTGGAATTGGTAGCCGTTTGATTGCTGGTATCAGCCCGGTTGAAGACCCTCCAGATTTTCAACTAGGAAAGGCATATTACTTTGGAGGTGATGCTGTCATGACCCTTCTGAGAGCCGACAGACTTGACCTAAAGAAGCTGGGGCAGGGACTGAGGCATAGGGACGATGTGTTCCTGATGGCTAATGTTCGCCTCGTACCTCTCTCTCAAAGTGTGCTGCTTGGTGTTTACTCCAAGACAGAGGCGCCATTAGTATATTTTGAAATTCTGTTGAACAGTGGTACTGGTTCTGATGCAAGTAAGTAGATCCACAAAGTTACTTAATTCCTTATTAATCTGCCGCGTCACATATTTTAATCGTCAATCTACTGAACTACTATCTTACTTCAGTGTTGTCTTCTATCCTACTTACCACTGGTTCCATTACCCGCAAGTTTAACTGAACACATATACCGCGTTTCAAAAAATAATATTCATTTTCATGTTTTTTCCTTCTTCATAGTAAAGATTACATACAAATCTCAAGATGGGGAATCTCTAATGATAACTTTTGATGATCTTGAACTGGTGGATGGAGAATGGCATAAGATAATTATCCAATTCACTAATCTACAGACTAGGCGCGAAAACAAGGTTATTATGTACCTAGACTGTGCCAAAGTAGGCGAGCAAAAGACTAGTGGAAGGATAGGTAAAGTTCTTACATTGGATCGGATCAACACTCTAGAACTTCGATTGGCACAAAGTGGACCACACTCCGTGTCTATGCCGTTCGAGGTACGTTTGTTGTGTTATCGTTTCATCATTGGTTTTTTATTTTTTATTTTTTGTTAAATAATGTTTTATAAATATCCACATTGCAATATGTGTAACAATATTAAAACATGTTATAAGTAACGTTCGAAAAAGTGCAGGTATACCTATCAAATCTTACACTTAGCAATAGCTCTTTAAATGCACTAAAACATACACCGGATACAAAATATATTAAATCATTTAAGAAAATACTATTGCTGCCACGTGTAAAATTAGATAGTAAAGGGATAACATCACTAATCAACATGATCACAACAAATTCAGTGAACTCAGTCGGTTAATTTGGTTGTGTGCCCTGAACCATAGTGATCCCTCAGTCTTAGTTCAATTCCATTGCTTCTAGACGTGCTGAAATGCGAGTTAATCTAGTGTACCGTCTTTTGCTACATCTCACTTAATGTGTATTTTATATTTGATTGGTTTACTTTGTAAAGTAAGGGATGAATAATCAAAAAGGAGCAACTTTAATATGCTAAGCTATCTTCCCAGGGTACAATGCAGTTTCCTCGCTTTCTGTTTGGTGGTTCGATCGCTGATGCCAAAAACATGATCAATTGTTATCAGGCTCAGGGACTGCGGACACAAGGTAGGCGAAATTTTGAAATACAGTATATATAACAATTATTCGATATCTTTGGAATTTGAGATTCAACTTATCTTCTTGTTAGTTTGACGCAATTCAGTGCAATGCTACAATGTTACATTTTATGGTTTTAAAAATAAACCAAAATGAATGAATGAATGAATTTACGACTGTGTGAAAACATTAGTTTATTTTATGTACACTTCAATATGTATTACTTGACATTCAATTATAAAATCTACTTGCAATTGCGTGCCAACGGTCCTTCCAGAGTGTCATTCAAACTTAACGACTGTTCAATAATAACATGTTATTCAATAGAACAACATGTTCTTATTGAACATGTTATTCAATAGAATACGCACATGTCCCACAAACACAAGTTTATGTACGCTGAAGATCTCACACCTTAGAAATACTTTTCATGGGGTAAGCTTAACGGAAATGTCCATTAATACGGAGGTCCAGAAATCACTAACCTATGATTGTCTTCTTTTTTCTTTTAACTGCAACGATCTGTAACCTGAAGATGAATTTTCTAACTTTGGTAAGTATTGGTTTCTTTTTTGCCTTTCAGTCAAATTACAATTTTTGTTCACAGTAACTGTAAATAAATTAACTTCAGTAGATATATCGATGCAATGGACAGTTTTCGCCTGTTTTTGATATTGGGATTTTGATTGGAGAAGAAATTACAATTAGATTTATATATAGAAGCCAAAAATTAGTACTAACATGGTGAAAACTAGAAGTAAAATGAATTGCGGATAAAAATATGATCAAATCTGAAAGAAGCCTAATGTTTCAGTTGTTGGTTTTTAAGCTACTTGGAATATTAATCCGGCGAATACATATTATTATTTCACTGTTGGCTAACTAGGTTAGACAGTAGGGGGCGAACAAGCAATTCGCACGCCGCAAGTAATTTGTATTTCAAGTCTGGACTGTACAAGGGATGTATTTATTGCAGGATACAATGTTTAAGATGAATATGAACGCACTCTTGGGATATTAGCATTGTGTTTTATTTAGTTAAGTGAATCAACAGCATGTTGGTAAGTTGAGCCCCACAAGTGGCAATCAATCCCACAAAACATTGATCAAATTTAACATAATATGTGAATTATTGCCGCGCGGTTTATAACGATCTTTTAAACTCTGATATAAATTATACTGGATTTGTGCCGATTATCTGTCTTGTCCCAAAATCCTTTTCATACATCTTTCATTGGCGTGGTAACGTTTCTTCTTTCCTGTATTATTCGTCCCATATCTCCGCTATTGTTTTATTTACTTCGGCTGTAAGTTTGCAAAAACCTATTTTTTTATAATTATCATTTTTTATCATCATTAATACACTGACCGAAGTAATTAATTTTTAATTGACTTATAGACATTAATACAATACTCCATTATATGCAAATTATATATGAACGGTATACGTTTCATATGTCTATTAATTGTCAATTCTAGTTCTAATTTAATTTAATAAGGCAAAATCTTACTTAAATAATATGAAGTAAAAAAAAAGTATTGTTTGTGTTAAAAGATGAAAAATGACATTCGAAAGTTTACCAGATTTGAACACAGACTGCCTGTTTTTAAGAATCAATGGTATAAGTAGCGCGTTCAATTTTTAAGAACGTTCACCTCTGTAATGATAAGTATAAATTCAAAGTCAATACGATGAAATAATAGATAAAATTGTGAAAAGTGCAATGGGGTTGTGGAGGTGTGTTAGTGAAAGGTAACACCTCAACTCAATCGCTGTATAAACGCCTTCTGGCGGTATCCATTCACGTGACCTCTGAGGTGTGCAGAACACTGTGGTTGGTCCCTTAAAAGTGACACAAATTCAGTTCGGAAATGATACCATAACAAATGTTTCAGCTGATCATGCAGATATACAAAATATTGTGAATAAAGTTTTACATATGAATCCAACAAAATAAATGTAAAATGACGTAGAATTAGCAATAATGATTTGAATAGAATAAACAAATTAGTACAGGATGCAGTTAAATTTAGCACATTGTTCAATTTGTCAAAAGTGTTAACCGATTAAATATCACCAGAAAATATTCTTCAAAATGTTTTAGTACCATACACAAATTCAACTAAAATATTGACCAATAAATCATGTTATGCTCTGTAGTTTAAGGTATCTCCATTAAAGTCCCTAAAACATCAATAAAATAAATTAATTGCTCATTTAGAGGATCATAAAAGTTATAAACTTTTAAATTTCCAACCTTCTCATTAATAACAAACAATCTTTTTGAGATTTTAATTTAACTTAAATATTTTCTTTCCATCAAATTAGAAACTATGTTCAAAATATTGTACTAATACTTACCATAATCATTTTATGCTCTGTAATTTAAATTAACTTTTGACATTTTATTTTAACTTAAATTTCCCCAACCAAATTATTAGTTGGAAATAAATAAACATAGGCCTACAGTATATCAGGTTATCATTCATCTCATGAATAACCGTCTTTCGAATCAACTAAAGTACATTGATGGCTGTTGTTGGCGCTTATAAAGAGACGATCGATGAAAGAACATTGGCTTTGGAAATTTTGAGAAACAATACCATAATTTGCAAATTATGACATTATGACTTATAAATTTCTAACAAATAAAATTTCACAGGTATGACTGAAATGCAAAGTATGATGCAGTCAATGGCATACACCATGCAGGGCATGAAGGCAAGCATGGATGAACAGGTAATACTATGTCTATGTGTACCAACAAGTATCATAATAGTTGCGCTTACTACATAATAACGAATGGTCATTGAGTGCGTATTTATGTAAATGAGGTTTAACACTGTGCCATAGCCAAGCACAAAATTGATAGCTGAGGATGTTTCATTTCAATGACAAGGATAGAATAAAAGTCCCTAGAAGAGGTTTTTCACAACAGCCTTCATATTCAGCGTAACCGTAGCCCTGTAGCAAAAATGTATGTGATAAAAGTAACAACGGTTCTCTGAAACTGTCCAAATGGATGATTGTCATTCATAGGTCAATATAATTAAACTTCCCCAATTATAAGAGACAGAAATCATACTCTAAATTAATTATCCATTTAATATGAATGAATTATGAATTTGATTATTATTTACTGTACAGACCAAAGAGATGGAAGGTATCATGAATACATTAAATGAATGTGGTATTTGTAATGACCCTATACTAAGAGGTAAGACCAACAGAAATAAATTTATTGTACTGTAAGAACCTATACTTTAATCTTCTTTGAATACTATACACTACAATTTAAATGGAACTAGCATTATACCCGTGCTCCGCACGGTGTTGAATGAGTCGGGAAAGGAGGCGATCGTGTACATTGTTGAATGGGGAAGTTGAGGAGGCAATCGTTGTGGATGTTATGGTTACCATGCCATTATTTTTCTGAAGGACGTCTTTGTAGTTAATGTTTTGAGTGTCTTTGCAGCACACTGTATTCCTTGTGAGATAATTGTGCAGTGTGATCAAAGGTTGATCCAGAATGTTTCAAATGGGGGGTGGGGGGCACACAACAGTTTCAGAATAATTGAATAAGCGAATAGCACATATATTGCATTGAAATTTTTAAAAAAATTATTGGCAAAACGGGGCAAGAGCTCTTTCCCGACGTCCCTCTCCCCTACTGGATCTCTCCCCGTTAGCTTTGGGCACGCTCTTGTAAGTGAAAGTACAGAAAGATACGTAGTAGGCCTAGCCTAGTTGGGCATGAGAGAAGTGTTTGTCTTGAATCAAGGTGGATGCATGTAAGGCTTATCTGAACTACTGAATTTCAAAAGAACCTGTCAACATTGTCCGACGTGTTTACGTAAATTCAAGTTAGGTATTGATTGGTGTACATAATTTTGTTATTTTTACACATGAGAATATATTTGCTTCATATTCCTTCTAGTCAGGAATATTGCATTTTTATAATACCAGTTTTTAGACCGTTAGTTTCTGCCGTTTGCATGCTAACGCGTTTATTTTGGCAAGAAAACCAGATGTCCAGATTCATAATATTGTACAATACAATTATCTTAAATCAATTACCTTATATTTATATTATATTATATTATTATTATTATTATATATATTATTATATATTAGCATATAATTCTCCTAGAACACTGCAATCATAGATATGCGTATAAAGGCGTCCAGAAACTTGATTCTTGAAAAATGAAACGTTTTGCACGTGACTTTTTCGGTCTTATAGTTTACTCTCAATTTCATACGTATAGAGTTGTTGACCAAAAGATTTCCCGGATAACATAAACTTAGTGGTCTCCCTGACAAGTCTAAATTAAAGTTCCTCAGAACTGTAATAGTATTTCTAATCTAATCAATCTATATGATAATCTTTATTATTGTGTGTATATTAAGTTGCATTTAGTAGGCCTGTATTCAATTCTACCAAATTTATATTTTTGTAAGACTGCAGTTTTTTCTTTTAATAATTCGTGTATGACATCTGAGTTCTTGATTTAATACAGAGGAATCCCGATTACCACCTGAGGTCAATTGCGATATGCAGCCCTGTTTTCCTGGAGTAGGCTGCACGATGACCCCTAGCGGGTACGCCTGTGCCCCGTGTCCACTAGGCTACGATGGTAATGGTACTATTTGTACAGATATTGACGAGGTAGGATTATTTTCGAATTATGCCTGCTAAATTATTTAAAGTGGTCCTCTTACTGAATTATTTTGTGTTGAGTTCGTGTGCGTATAATATGTTCTGATGTTAAGCAAGGACGTGAGCACAACTAAACGAAAAAATAACAACCAATGACAAACGAAATGCTGAAGATGTTACATTTTTTACTGAGAAGCTCGAAGGAATTCTGATGTCATACTGCGAAAAACCATCTTTAATTGTCACAGGATAAGAAGAAATAATCGAATATTAGTTATGTAGCCTAATTATAGATAGCGTTAAGAGCTGAGCCATTTTAATTACACTCGTTATTTTCTCATGATCTCTAACCAGCTCCGCTAGCTGTCTTTTTAGCAATGTTTTTCTTAGCATAGTATGTGACAGGGTTGAAATGTTTGAACGTGACATCAACTTAACTAACCTACTTTATGTCAAGGTTATTATGATACCTCCCTGGTTGCAGAAAAAATGTATAAAGCCTAGTAATATGGTAATTCTAAAAAAAATCGATAGCAAATTAACGGAAAATATGTAAGTTAACGTAAATATTTTGTAATATGTTGAGTATATGTAAATATGTAATATGTAGGTAATAAGTTTATTAATTGATTATTTTTAATATACAATAAATTGCTTTATAGAATTACTACTGCGAGAATAAATACTGAAAAATTGATACTACATTAGATCGAACATTTTCAAGTTCTAACCAATAAATGTTGATATTCTATAGGCTGACATCATTAAGTTTGCTTTTATATTTCATCAATATTGATGTATTCTAGGTTTAACATTTCCATGTTTCCTTTTATATTTCTTTTACAAATATAAATATTGAATGTGGATTTTCTTTAAACCTAATATTTTGAAGTATGATTTCAAAAAATTGTATAGGCCTAAATCTAAACGATGAATGTTGGTATTTTTTTTAAATGTTCATATTTCAGTGTGTGGAAGCAATGCCATGTTCTGAGGTAACAAAATGTATCAACTCAGCACCCGGCTTCCGTTGTACCGACTGTCCCCGGGGCTACATCGGCACCGGCAGAGAAGGCAATGGTAGGGATGAAGCTCACGGGACCAAACAGGTTCGTGATATAATATGAGTATCCAATTTAGAAATAACAAATTAGAACTCTAGGTACTCTACCCTCTAGTAACAACAGCGAATGGTGGCAATTAATTTCTGCATGTATGTTGTTGTTATCTTAACTGCAGTTTACATACACGTGGACAATACTATTTTTTGGCACACAATTGTCGTCGCTGGTGGTATCTGCTGAGATACCTACTAGTCCATATTATTCAGAAGAGTATGCTTATATCTCTGACAGGCCTAAACTGATTGGTCCTCTCAAAAAACGTAAGCATTTCATAAACACGAAATAAAATTTACAACGAGTGCACTTTATTGGAGGCTATTTCTGATTCTAGTTAATAAATTCATATAATAAAGACATAATATTTCTTTAATTATTTTACTAATTGGTCAAAATAATGAGGCCTATTTCCAGTTAGAATACAAGTATTATCTCGAACCTAATAATACCGTCATTGATTGACTTATTGAGATGTCTTTCGATACCAAAATTCATGCGGCTGGCAATCACAATAACATTTTGTTCATTAATTGTCAGCAATTTTATGATGATAATTAACGTACGTTTGCCAATTACGTTCATTACATACCTATAGATTTGTATTGATATCGACGAATGCTCAATTAACAATGGAGACTGCACGGAAAACTCTATATGCGTCAACACTGAGGTGTGTATACTTACATTTATGGATGTTTTGTTTCTCTGTTGTTACATTATGTTTTATTTTATCTCCTAGTTTTTATTTACAATTTATCCTGACATAACTCCGAATTCAAGTTGTACATCATTTTCGTTCGACTATAGGAATTAACTATCATCTTACTTGTATCTTAGGCCTACTTGTATTCTTGGGCCGTCGTTGAGCATAATGCTTATATCGTATCTTACTTGTATTCTTGGGCCGTCGTTGAGCATAATGCTTATATCGTATCTTACTTGTATTCTTGGGCCGTCATATTCGTCAACATTTTTTAAAAAGTTAATGTTAAGAAAAAGAAAATAAGTTTGGTAACAAAAGCTTGTGTTATTTTAGGGTGGTTACTTCTGTGGAGAATGTAATCCTGGATATCAAGGAAACCAGACGGTGGGATGCACCAAACGGCGCTTGTGTACAGATGGATTAACCGTCAGCCCATGCCACATGCATGCTACCTGTTTTGTTTACTCAACAAAAGTATACTGCGAGGTAAGTATTTTAACAACGTCGGCATACCACTTCTATATCGTCCATCATCAATGTGTGTTGTAAACGACATTATACTAAAAGGTGAATACAACTGTATACCATACACATAAATCCATACGGTACGGTATAAGCGGCGCTTAATGAAGTCACGCGCTGCTTCACAAGCAATCAGAAGGTAGAAAGCTCAGGATGTTTTATTTCAACAAACAAAATTAATTCGGCATTTTTATAGAGTTAACCTTGTAGGAAACTAGCTTCCATTTTAATTGATAGTTTTAAAAGACATTACCGTTTGACTATCTTAATGGTTTAAGTAAATCATTGATATTATATATTTTACAGTGTGAGATGGGCTGGGCTGGTAACGGTTATGTCTGCGGTCCTGATATTGATATGGATGGCTTCCCAGACGTTCGCTTAAATTGCAGAGATTTTGTTTGTAAAAAGGTAAATAGGCTTATATTAGGTATTTAAAAAGATTAAATATTTGTAGTACAACACAAGATGGCAATACATGACGAAAGCATTTTTTTTTTCTTTTCTGTTGTCCTGGAAAGAGCACGATAGGAATGTTGCGCTATCAAGTGCACAACCAGTGACCAATGACCATAGGCATGATATTATGTTTTTATGCCTATGCTTCATTTCACTTATTTCACCTAATAAAGTATATATTGAAAATAAAGAATGTAGAAAATGTTGAGAACAAACATGAATAGTGTATACTTTGCACAAAAGATATTCATTCCACAATGCCCTAACCATTGATTATTTCTCCATGTTCTAACTATGTGATCCAATATCCTTAATTTTAACGCTTGATTACAAAGTCTTTCAAGTAGAACACATAGACCTAGCAGTAAATTACATTAGCGAAAACAGTGTTGCGCTTACTTACTGTTAAACATACAAATTTACATTATACATTTTATATACGTTTCTGTTAGTTATTGTGTAAAATTAATGTTATCTTTTTTTTAGGACAACTGTGTCGAACTACCGAACAGCGGACAAGAGGACACTGATAAGGACGGCATTGGCGATATTTGTGACGATGATATCGACAACGATGGCCTAAAAAATACAAAGGTGGATACATTTTATGTATTTTAAAGATAAATGATATTCATTATACATTGATCGACTCATCACTTTTTAGTCGATAAAAAGAATATCCAATGTAATATTTAATATTTTATTTTTATTGTTTACTTTTTTTACATAGGCCTAATATATAGCCATATAAAACATACAGTATTTGACTTCTTTAAATAACTGTTGTATATCTATTATTTTACTAACTTTTTTTGGCCTACAGAAATTGTATATCAGCAAGCAGAATGAGTATATTACACACATTCATTCGATGCATGGTATATGATAGGCTAGACTTACGCATGCGCAGCCGAAACTACGAAGCACCTTATTAATATAAAAAAATCTATATTCAATAACCATCAGATATCTCAGTTTAAAAAGCGGAATGCATGCCACCACTTCCGGATACGCTTGATTAAATTATAAATCGGAAGGTATTTTTTTAAAAAGAACGGGGATTCCAGAGTACAAATCAAATCTATCAAATGACCAATCAGAACTTGTTAGGCGCATGTCCCACAAACACTTAGCCGAAATGTCCATTATGATGAAAAGCCGAAACATGTGGGGGCATCATGTAAAAAGCCACTTTGGCTCCGATATTGAGACAATTATTTTTGACTTAGATCTGGCCTAATATTTTGTAGGACAACTGTATTTATGAACCGAACGTTGATCAAGAGTCCAACAGAGATGACGATAATGTAGGCAACGCTTGCGACAATTGCCCTCATACAAGTAATCCAACACAGAAAGACTTCGACAATGATAATATTGGAGACGCCTGTGACAATGACATGGATGGTGATGGTATGTTTTTTCCTGGAACTATTAATATATTATAGGCCTATGTAATGTAATAAAAATGAATGAGTGGTATAGAATTGATGAGAATTATATTAATAATAAAATGTTAGACATAATATATAGCGCAAAATTCCGGAGCTTCAATTCGCTTAACATAAAAATCCCTTCTGCAATTTTTTTCTAGGTAAAATGTAGGCCTAGTTGCAGTTGTTGTTGATGATGATGATAATATTGATGATCATAAAAATTATGATCATAATAGGCTAATGCCGAAACATGTATGTTTCGAAGGTGATTTTTTTTTTAAATAATAAAATCAGCTGGGCCATATCCTACATGATCTTGAGCCTTAAAACTGTTGTGGTCTTTTTAAGAATATTTTGCTGTCTGCTACTTCACAAATAAATATACCAAGAATATAATAATAATGTGTTTTGCTGTGTATCCAGGTATACCAAACGAACGAGATAATTGCCCTTTGAAGTACAATCCTCGCCAATATGATATGGATGAAGATGGATTTGGTGATGTGTGCGACATATGCCCCTATACACCGAATTCTGTCCAGGTAGGGATAGGCTTACTAATGCATAAGTACTTTATCAGAGCTAGGTAGGCATACACGGCCTACACTCACTTATCCTACAATATGACAAACTAGCAGGGGATGATACAGGATTTGGATAATGGGGGTTGGTGTGGGGCTCATGGGTACAGTAAACCATTGTTTTGGAATGTGCAAGCAATACACATTAAGTGACATTGTGACACCCGAATTCGCTACTGATTAGTAAGATTAGGCCTCTGCCCCAAGTCACATTCTGTAGGCCAAACTATGTAATTTAATCTATATGGGTATAATAACCCAACATATTTTTTATAAACGTGAAAGTGAAAGGTGAAAGTCTGAGCGTATATTGATGAAGATTGAATGTTCTGTCAAGGTGGATCTACTCACCTAGGTTAAACTCTTATTCCCTTAGGAAGACTTTGATCTGGATGGCTTGGGGGATGAATGTGATACAAATGAAGATAGGTAAGTCATGGTCACTTTTTAATAGGATTTATCCATCACGAACCGCCCTGAAACGTAATAAATGATTGCCTAATATTTTGAAGGACCGAAATGATGTTTTGTTGTTGTTGTTGTTATCCACTTTAATAATGGAATAATTTGAATTAAATTATATTTATAATTGATCATATAATTCCTAGTGATGACGATGGTGTTCAAGATAATATCGACAACTGTCCAGGAATACCAAACAGTGTGCAAATTGACACTGATAGTGATGGTTTGGGAGACGCGTGTGATAGTGACGATGACGATGATGGCATCCGGGATGTTTACGATAACTGCAGACTGATTCCAAACACCGATCAAGCTGACGAGAACGGTAAGAAGTTTCACGTTTGACATGATAGTAACCGTGACTGGAATTCAATGAAGTGCAAGATTTTCATACATCTTGAGTTAGTTCGGTGAAGTCAAATGATATCATTAAAATTGTAGGCCTAACAATTTTTGGGAGGATGCGGTGGAGTTGCTGCTAGTACATTGGTTGTATTAGAAAACGCACGTATTAAAATACGAATGGCAGTTTAACAAAGCAATAGCTTACAGATAACAATTTTGACCGATTCCGATGGGGTTTTTTTTTTTTGTTTTTGTTTTTGTTTGGTTTTTTTTGTTTGTTTGTTTGTTTGTTTTTTGTTTGTTTGTTTGTTTGTTTTGGTTTTTTTTAAAATTTAATTTACACCGACTTCCTAACTTTCCTAACAAACCTCTTTTACTCAGTACTAACTTTTAACCAATCACAGCATCCCGTTACAAATGGGGTTATTGAAATTAGACCTACTACGTGCTTGTTTATTAAAACATTAACAACGGTTGTCGGCCCTGGCGATGATCCTTTTATGAAAATATATTAAAAATGCATTTTTAAAAAGAGAGTCTGTCTATGGTATATCATTTAAGCTTGTTTCTATATAACTGTGTCGATTTGAGGAAGCTATGTCGCACGTTCGACATACGCTTATACATTTTCTGTAACTGTATTTTGTCTGTATTTATTTGTGTCATGATTGTTTTGAGGATGTCAATAAAATTTATTGCATTATTGCATTAGATGCTCTATCAAGTCTCTTTAAGAGGCGTGTGGTCAGGGAAAAAATTGTTGACATTGAAGCCAGAAATGCACCCAGGACTTTAAACTTAGAAAAGCGATCATCGTAACCACTAAACCGCAACCTGATATTTTCTCTAATTTTTAAGGTAATGGTGTCGGAGATGCATGCGAAAACGATCTTGATAATGACGGTGTTGAGGATTACTACGATTCGTGCCCGGAGCGGAGGGATGTTTATGCGACTGATTTTCGAACCTTCCAGACTATTATACTGGATCCAATTGGTGACGCGCAGTATGATCCCAACTGGATTGTTTTTGATGAGGTAATTATGTGTTTCATCAATCAGTTTTAATTTACGTGAACATGCACACACACTTTAAGTCTGTTTCATGTTCAATCGGGATTCTTTTCCTCTCAACATTCCATGATGACTTCCATTGGAGTTGCTGCTCCAGAAGGTTGCGGAACAAATTGCCAGATTTCATTTCTTGAGATTTTCCAAAGAGCCCATATCTCAGTAACATTTATACTGTATTATCATGGCTTAAAATAGATATCTCTATTGGTCATTGAGACATCGAATGTATAATGACGCAATAAAAAACACCACCTATTTTTCATATTCTATAACTGTAGGGCCGTCAAATTCTCCAGACCATTAACAGTGATCCTGGATTAGCTGTAACTTACACGACGTTTAATGGCGTCGACTTTGAGGGAACTTTCTACATCAACACTGATGTCGATGACGATTACGCTGGTTTTGTGTTCGGTTATCAAAATAGTAGTCGTTTCTATGCTGTTATGTGGAAGCATGCCCAGCAAACTTATTGGCGAGCCACACCGTTTAGAGCTGTGGCCGAACCAGGAATACAACTAAAGGTAACACAACGTTGAATCTGTATGGCCATTTTCATAGTTTACTTGTTAATTGCCCTTCCTTTCATTTTACGGGGTCGTATTTTCGGTATATCGTGTGGAAGAATGTGGCACACTGTAGGCTGGTGGTTCAAGTCAGTTGGTCACCATGTGCATGGACTGGCAAAATACTTCATCTACTTGAAGGTGTCTCTCCCTGTAGTTCAAATGCCAGTGCAATAATTGTAAACACAAGCCTTAATAAACACCGTATTGGCCCTGTGACCGATATAGTCCTGCGGTTTTTGTTGTTTTGTAATTACTTATTAGGCTTAATTTTCGTTATCCCACCCGCCATTATAACATATAAAAATATGATCATTCGATATTTGATTTACAGGTGGTAAACTCCGTCTCGGGACCAGGTAGGATGCTTAGGAACGCACTGTGGCACTCAGGTGATACAGATGACGAGGTAATTCAGATTTCTTTAAAGGCCTATACAGGGGCCTAGTTTTCATAAAATCGTTACAGCCAGACTTTCAGTGCAATTGGTACAATTCGTACTATTGGCAAACCAATCAAGAATGTTTCCTGATTCGATCTATCCCCTACTAAATCAATATATTCACATATTATTGTCATTTTTCTTATTTTAGGTAAAACTTTTGTGGCATCAAGTCAGCTATGGTTGGGAACACAAAACAGCCTACCGTTGGCAGTTAATGCACCGGCCGTCAATTGGCCTTATTAGGTAAGAATATGTCTCTATTTAGTAGAACGGTCACATACCTAAGCTTATACTATGACTATCAGCCATAAATGTAAATAAGATATCGTATCACGCACGCATTCGTTATAATAACCGCGTGAAGCGCCTATACTTTGTAGCAATAATACGCCACATAACACAAATATATATTTTCACAGTTTTCGTATAATTTTGATGTTTTTGTTATATTAATTATGCTTTCTTGTCGCCCCCATAAGAATACCAGTACTCGTATCCACATAATTATAGCAATCGCACACTATTACAGCCTAAGTTGTAATGTTCAACTAGAGTTTATACATCGCCCCCATAAGAATACCAGTACTCGTATCCACATAATTATAGCAATCGCACACTATTACAGCCTAAGTTGTAATGTTCAACTAGAGTTTATACATCTTTATACACTTTTTTACAGGGTGCGGCTATACCAGGGTAGGAACTTGATCGTCGACTCAGGCTACATAATAGATCTAACATTAAGGGGAGGTCGGTTAGGCCTCTTCTGCTTCTCTCAGGAACAAATCATATGGGCTAGGCTAAAATACACGTGTAATAGTAAGTATCCACTACTGAAAACATGTAGTACAAAATTGAACTGCTAGTTTTAGCCAAAGGCCTTATCTATGGAATAAAGTGCCCCCGACTTAATTCAGCAGGGATAACGTTTATCATACTTAGCCTACTTTATTACATTCAAAAATAATTTTTCTTTTCAGATGCTATACCAGCCGATTATCGAGGGTAATGAAATCATAGTGACGTGAATCAATGTATCCAGGATTACTAATGAAAACAACTATCATAGTGTGTGAAAAAAAAGAGGAAACTTATCGCATATCCAAGTAGGACTAAACAGGTTAAAAGTAGATACGATGCAGCACCAATATCAACTAGGTCTAGTACCTGTCCAAAATGCCAAGGCCTAATAATTATCATAGAAAGTATAGAATATTGCTGGCATAACACTTTGAAGAATATCTACAACAATATTACCAGAGCGTGCTATTTCTATGTAATAATAATAATAATAATTATCTTTGAATAATAATAATACAGTATTATCTTTTATCTTACTGTATTCCAGATTAGAGAAAACATTGATGATATTAATAATTATAATGTTTATGTATCTTAATGTAAAGAAATATGTTCTAATGGGAGTTGGTATAGCATTACTGGTATACACGATACCGTAAAACATAGTTATAATAGGTTAAGCCCTTCGTGTGTAAATTATTGTATTTAACTCAATATGGGTAGTTATGATATTCATGTAAATATTCAACTGTTTAGCTGTATTTATCAATTGTTTTAAATATTTTATTTGTAGACAATAAGTTTAATATAATATGTCAACGATACTGCTGAGGCGAAACATGAATATTGCTTGAGATAAACAGACAACTTTACACTCTGACACTGTCAGACATCGTAAACGTACTCTTGCAAACTTAGGTCATAATGTCATATTATGCGAGTCATATCTACGGCATTTAACCAGTTATTATTTTTGCATTTTTGATTGGCCACCAAGCATAGTGTATTCTCCATTTACAGACCAAAAGAAACTGCTGTTGGTTTACATACTGTAAGAACTAATAGGTGCTTCTCGAATAAGTGTGTCGCTAATACAAATGCAGATACAGATACTGATTTCTCTATTGTCCAAATGTCTGAAAATTACAATGCTCATGTCTGAAAGTGACACGTATTCGTGACTGGCCCATCGTGTTGTATAGGCCTACATTGGTAAATTTCAACGTTAGTAGGCCTATGATTAACTTCATAAAACATCGGTTGTATAATAGTTTTTCGATGATATGAAACGTTCCCAGCAAACACAGTCGTTATAAACGTCCGCGCAAACGTTGTCAGAAAATGACGTTACCACAACGTCGACAGTTATTTATTGTGCATTACGTTATAAATACGTAAAATATAAAAATTATCATGACGTAAAATTGTTTGCTGGGTAGTAATGTACTCTCGATTTAACGTTTATTCAAAATATTAGGTCAATCACGGCATATGACATTAAAGAGCGCGAGAATCTGAACTGAATTCGTCTCGAGTCTCTTGTATAATGGCATCCTGACTGACTTCGTGGTACGACAGACACCGTTATACATATACAGTATACATATATTTTTTTCATATGTATTTCAAATTTCTTTCGTTAAATTAAATTGATCGTGTATATGTTTACGTATATTGCCTGTGGCATCAATTGCTGTGGCCGAATAATTAATTTAAATATGTAAATAGTTTCTCCTCATGGATATTTAATTAGTATAGTTTAGAAAACTGAAATCATGTTAGAATTCTGTTTATCATTGTCTACTTACTATATTCAGTTATTAGAACCTTAAATCCATTTTTGTATTCTTTTATTCTATAATGTGGAATGGTTTTAAAGATATACTGCCATGTTAATCTAACAGACGTTTGTGTTTTAATGAGTCATCCATTAGCTATTACTTAGGCCTACCTAACAATAAACGAAAACAATTTTCTTGCCAATCAATATTTTCTATAGTACTTGCATAAGTACTACCATTGACTTATTCCAGCAAATGAATTTAAGAAAATTTCGTAATAAAATGTCGCGGCAGTGTATCTTTAATAAATATGTTGGGTCTAAAGGCCTACAAATGAAAGATGTATAATTATGTCGAATGATAATTAGGTTTATTACGGATTGTTGATTAGTAAAATGTATTAGTTCATATATTTATGGCAGGCCCATAGCCAGGGAAATTTGACGGTTAGAACAAGTCCCCTTTTCAACAACCCACAATCTGTTCTCCATCATATACAGTTAGTAATTACCTTATAATTACCCACCCTCAAAGTGAACAAAACCCTCTGGCTGAAGTGTACCTGTGGTCCCAACGAAGTGTTTGGAAAGCAAACCTCCCCGCCCTCGCCCCCACCGAAATCTCTTTTTAAATCCCTGTCTATGGGCCTGTGTGGGAGGCATATTCATTGTGAAATTTCATTAACATATGACTATTTGAGAGAGAATGGCAAATGCAGTCGAGATTATTAATTATCATGAATCAAGTGAGATGTTAAATTTGAGATTGAATTCACTTTTGATGTTGTCAGATGGAAACGTGTGAAAGTGTAGAATGGATGTATTGAAGAGGAGCTTGGTGACGTCATCTAGACTGACTGCTCCTTAACTTTTGGTGTATACAGGTCTCCTTCCAATTAAAGACGACTTTTGGGATCAGGGTTTACATGGTCTTTAGCAGCTTTGGTCTCCAATTAGAATTTTAAAAAAATAATTGTTCACTTGGGACCACAGTAAAGTGGTCTTTAATTGGATGGAGACCTGAATTTGAGTAAAGCATCACTGTGGGATTACATATTTGTCTCATAAACTATTAGTCGGGAAATTTTATATTAGTTTTTTGACTTGCAGTATCAACTATTTTTGTCAAAATTATAACCAAATAAATATTTATAAAGTTTGTTTTATTTTTGAGTTTTATCTTTTGCACATTTCATGTATCGACACGTACACAACAATACAAAAAAATTGTATTTGCATTTTTAAATTTTCAAATTGATCAATGTTTATTTTTTTTTTCTTGAAAACATTCGGAACGTTTCAGTTGGTCGGATGACATCAATGGAACCGCCACAATTTCCATTCTTATTATAATTCAGTTCACTAAAATATCTATGATACATACTATTTGCATAAAATGGTTCATCTGTTTACTAATGCTTATGACACAATTTCATAACAAGCTTTAGAAAATTCTAGGGATAAAAATATTGTTTCTTATAAAACACTGAAATTTGTACAAAAAATGAGCAGCGGATTCAAACTGGGTTTTCCTATATATCAGTGTATACCTTTACATTCTAAACATTATATTACAATAAGAGTTGAAATGAAATAGTCACTTTTTAATCTAGAAGACTTAAGGGTGTATATTACAAAAAAAAAAAAAAAATAGTGATGTTGGTATTGTATGAATGAAATACTTATCTGGATAGATTATGCATTTTGGTAGTGTGTTCAGACACGGGAACATTGGTTATCCAGGTAAGTATTCATTTAGCAATATATAACGCTTGCATGGAATTTAAGATGAAAATGTATTATAATAATAGAAATTGAATTCACACACAATTTAATAGATGAATTTTCAGCTGTGCCGATTACAATTACTTAGTACAACAGAAAAAAAATAAACTAATCAGTAATACTAGATCCCATATGTTTAACCTATTACAAGCCTATGATTCTCTGCTATATATAGTGCATTAAAAAGTTGCTAAAATAAGCCTAAGTTTAATATATAAAAATTTACAAATAAAAATAACAGTAAATAATGTCAGTAAAAAGAATTTCAATCCATTGTCTTGTATTATAATCAATAATGTCTTAATGAGTAAAAGATAAAACAACAATCTAGAAAGAATGTAGTAGTGTACTTCACTTGGGTTTACATACCACATTGTTAGCACTGTGGCACCTTAATATCGTCAATATATCTGAGGTCTTGCCTACATTTTAGGTATCTTTCAAGAATAACTACTCCACATGAAAACCCTCAACATGGTATTTTGTATGGCAAAAAATACGAATTCCACTATACATTGTAATATCATCAGTAGACAAATATATATATTCTGTTCTTTCTTTAATAAAATGGCAAAAGTATATAAAAAATATTTTTAAGAAAATATTCAGGACGGTTATACTAAATTCACAACTATGGATGGTTGATTACACTTGCACCAGTGTGAATTTTTTCCCAATCGCTGTTTTGAAGCTCTCAGTTGATCAACTTTAAAAAATCAAATTTTAGTTGAATGGAAGGCAATTATTTTCAGTTGTAACGTTTTTAAACTGTATCTTCAATGACATTTAGATCGATGTCAAGAATCATTATTTGATGCATCTTCTCTGCTAGTAGGTCAACTTCCATTACCTTTTCGTCCTTAGGGGCTACGCTGCCTTTAACTTGTAGATGGAATACTGAGGGCTCTTTGATCTCGTTCTTGACACGCAAGATCGCGACTCCGCCATCTTTCTTCTGTATGGTAAAATTATCCTGACCGTTCGTTAACTTGTAGTGCATAAGACCAATCTTCTTTGAATACGCTGTGACCAGTTTCATAATACGTACTTTTGGATGAGCCTTAGCTAATGTCAGATTGATCTGTAAAATACCGGTGTTCTTGTCCACATCATAGACACCATGATCAACTTCAGAGCCCTCATCAGGAGCTTCGTCATCATCCACCGCTCTCCTCCTTCGGCCGGTTGAGTATTGGCAGGAATAACAAGGTTTGCTTTCGAGACCAAACGTTGACACACAAGCTCTGGAAAAACAACAATTAAGACACTGATTATTGACTCGCTACATGTCTGAAATCCATTCAAATCAACCAATCAAAACTGATCACATTCAGAATATACTTGTTTGGCAGTGATGTGGATAGGCTGAGGTATTTATATTTTGGAGGGAAATGTAGACATACAATTATTTATGTTTTCTAGTAATCTAAACAATCATTCTCATTTTTGTGGTATATCGTATTGAAGTTGTTTTAAAACATTATGTTACATTGAGAAAGAGAGAAACAGTCCGTTTGAACTGTACAACCAAATTAATCACTGAACCAATTGTTTTGGAATTACAGCACAATTCTATAAAGAATGCAACGCCATGACACACGCGCAATGGATCGTTTTTAATGAGGATTCGTTTAGACTGCCACCGACAATCAGCAGACGACGTCACATCGTCTAACGCTCACAGGGAGTTGAGTAGGATTCGTTGTACGACAGTAGAACGGCACCGTGATAGCTGGCTTTACTTACCCTTGGGCAACTGTGATGTAGCCAGGTGGGCAACCACAGCTGAAACTTCCTTGAATGTTATCGCATCCATAAGAACAAGGAGATAACCTATCGCATTCATTAACATCTGAAATTGAATAATATGGATAAGTATATATAAATGTATACATAAATTACAAATCTGCTAATAATTAACATTTTGTATGAGTGTATTGGTGAACATTATTAATTCATTATATCTTGAAATGTATTTATGAAGAAACTATGTAGCTTTAAAAATCATACCAAACAAACAAACAAACTTCAAGACATACTTATTAGCAAAAAACTCCATTTTATTCGCTAACACTTCATTACACTTACCTTGGCATCCACCCTGGAATTGGTCATACTCAAAGCCTGTATTACAATTACAGGTGAAACTTCCCTCTGTATTGTAACATTGTGCAGTTCCACAGGTTCCAGGTGTCAAACACTCATTTTCATCTAAATAAATCAAAACATATTTAAAATAAATGATTAGAAGCAGATATGGAATAAATAAATTACTCAAGCAATTTCTTGCATATGTATCTAGTGAATAGCTGACATGATCTTAGCATCATTGATGTTGAAAAGTAGCCACAATACCTACATACTTCTTTTTTAAATGTACAGTATATATACGCCATGAAATACTCGCACACAGGGCTAAAACATAGCACAAACCACTTCACAGGCTGTCAACAGTGCAAGGCCTGGATATCTAAGAATGATTGGCAAAGAATGGTCAGCACGTTGTTCAAATTAATCCGAAGATGGCACCTAACAGATTCCAATAACTCAAAATTAGCCAATAATTTACAATAATGTTGACACACTCGATCAAAGGCAATGTTTATGATTGCTTCAACATTCTCTTTCCCGTTCTCTGAGGTGCATCCAAAAAAGTTTTACATGTACAGCTTCTTCAAAATAGGTATATATACAGTATGTATGTATACAATTAATTTTTTAATTTAATAATAAGAATGCTACATAAAAAAGATGAGGATGATAACATGGTAATTATCATGTGAAAACTTGTACACTGTATTATACTGGTTGTATACTGGTAAAAATGTTCAAGTTCTGCAAAAGGAAACTTATCATCTATTGTCTACATAATAGACTGAAAATGCATTACCTCTACAGTTACTGCCATAAGCATATGGGATGTAGCCTCTTGGGCAAGTGCAATGGTAGCCCCCAACAGAGTTCTCACAATCATATTGGCATCTGCCCTGTATTGAGCACTCATCCAAATCTGCAAGTAAATCACTTTTTGTCATTACATATGTAAATAAATATCCATATTTCAAAAACTATAAAAAGTTTAGGCATTTATAAAAGAAACATATATTTGGATAGAACTTAAATTCTTTTGATATGATTTATATAATGTTTATGTCTTCATCAATTTTTAAGCAACAACATATTTTGGTTTAAGGGCCTGGACATGGCAGGAATCAGTCACTACACAATAAAAACACACTTTCCAAATACACACCATTTTTTTCCCTGAAAAAACATAGTGTACATAAAACCAACTGCTTAACACTCCATTAAAAGACTGAGATACTTAGAAGTGATCTACCCAATGACAAAACAGAAATTAGACAATGTGTTCCATAATCTTCACTCATCCATTCGTTACAGAATAAATGCTTTCAGATTTAGTTGACAGATAAATACTCACCAAGACACTGAGTACCGGTATCATCAAGTCGGAAGCCTCGTTTACAGTCACAACGGAAGCTTCCTTGCATGTTATGACACACTCCATTTGGTCCACAGGCTTGGGGATTTGTTGTACACTCATCTATGTCTGTAGAGCCAAAAAACAAAAGCTAGTTTTCAGTATCAGGCAATGTAGGCTGTGGGGAAGAGGGTCTTTTTTTAACAGAATTTACAACATATTACAAATTAATGGAAAGAATTTTATGTAAATTTGTAGAAATTATTGATTAATCGATTACATACAGTGCACCAAGACTTATTTGCGCTTTATGAAACACATTAATAAGAAATACAGAGTGATAAAAACATAACTTCTGGAATAACATGAAGAACGGATGACCTTCCGAACCGCAGGTTTGCTTCATTAAATTACTGACCTCGATTAAGGCAGGTTGTGCTTATTTCGCTGTGTAGTTTGATACGGTGTTGGTAAGTTACAGAGAATTTTCATATTATGTCGTTTTATCATCACTATTATTTCTATTATAACAGTGAATTATTATCACTGTTCTCAGTGATGATTCATATTAGGGCCCTATTTAGGAAACATTAGTAATTGTTCATTTCAGTATGTATAATATAGACTGAGTAACTTACCAGTGCAAGTGATTCCAGTTTGGCTGTAGCCCTCAGGACAAGAGCACATGTAACTGCCTTGTGTGTTGATACATTGATATTGGCAAGTATGTTGACCATAAGCACATTCATCAATATCTGAAGACAAACCAAATCTTACATAAAATCGAGAAGAGAATGAGGATGTGTACTTATCTGTAGGATGGCTCATGCAGAATGCCAGGAGCCGACCATTCCATTAATTTTAGGGATGTTCATGCTTTATAGAAAATTGCAATAGTCAGTTTATCCTTGTAGGTATCAACAAAATAAACTTAAAATATACTATATTGACTTTAATTCCTGTGTAATTGTGGCTATTTATCTATTTATTCATTTTATTTAAGAGTTTCAACAGAAACTTTAAAGATGCAAGTCAGTACTTTCTGAAGTTTACATAAGTATGCAATACATTGAGGTGAAGATGGCTGCCAAAAAATTCTGAAGTTCAACTTTTGCAATTGCACTGATTTTTTGGTGTAAAATGACTCCATTCTTCTATCAAACAAACACATCAACACATTATTTACTTAGCTGCGAACATGAATTAATTGACTGACATACCAACACAAGTGGCGCCATCAGACGACAACTGGAAACCAATGTGACAGTCACAGCTATAGCTACCAATTGTGTTTGTACACTGGAACGGGCAAGGCGATTGAGGGCGCTTGCACTCATCTTCATCCACGCAATGTGTGCCATCTGGATGTAGAATGTAACCAATGTTACACTGACACTGGAATGATCCCTGAGTATTCAGACAACGGCCATTCTCACAGATGTTGGGCAGTACTTGGCATTCATTAACGTCTTGGCAATCCCTATTGTAACCAACGCCGCAAGTACACATTTTCATGTAAGGAGCTGAAAAAATAGCGTACAACCAAGAAGTATACTATTTACATACATATTTAATAGGATGGTTCAACTAAAGTACAGTATGTTATCCTGATTTCATGAATATTTGAGTGAAGATAAGCATTATGATTGCATGCCGGGAAGAATCAAAATGCCAATATGTTTGATATTTGTGTTAAGTGGTTTGGCACAGCAGGAACAGTTTGGTTTCGCAAACTTGAAGTTGGGGTTTCAAATCCTTTGCTGTGCATTTATTTCGTGATCCTGAGCAAGGCACTTTATCTGCATTGCTTCTCTCCACACAGGAAAATAAGTGGTACCTGGTAGGGTTAAATACCAAATGCTCTGATTAGCTGATGCAAACGTTATGGAATACTCCCCCAGGGAGCTTCAGTTGAGTGTTCCATAGGCGTTTAAACCAATGACTGGGGTAATGATAATGTGAAGTGCACAGAGGACTTATAATGTGCTACAGTATATAAGTCTACCATTATTATTATTATCATATACTAAAGTTCTAAAAAATTATTGTTTCCTGCTTCCACCAGATAGAATATTAGTTTGTACTGCATTATATAGCATAATCAGAGATCTGGGTATGTATAGCTTTCGCTTATACTTCTTGGGATTTAGTGAATTACAGTAAAACCTCGAATTGAAGCCCTGGGTTTCTTTTTATTGCGAACTTTGGATGGGCTTCTTTTCGAGATGGGCTTCATAACAAGATGGGCTTCTTTTCGAAGCTGCTTTTGCAAAGTAAAGATGAATGCTGTAAATTTTGTGAATTTGTACTATAAAATAATAAATAAGGCCACTGTAAAATCAATCTGTATAATGAATTGTATTTAAATGGCATTAAGTCACCTAAACTACTGTATAAACCAAGCTTGTTTTTATTTTATTTTCTGAAATTCATGTACAGTGTTTGTATTGTATTATTTCGAAAAAAGCCTATGCTACCTTGAAACGAAGCCCATGGCTTCTTTACGAGATGGGCTTCTTATCAAAGCTAATTTTGTAAACTAAACAGAGGGGCTTCAATTCGAGATGGGCTTCATCTCGAGATTAAGCCCAATGGGCCTTCAATTCGAAGTTTTACAGTATATTTTCAATATTGAAGTCTGATTTTCTTAATTATTTTTTAAAGTAAATATTGATAAATTAATATTAACAAAATATCAATAATAAGTACATACTTGATCCAAACATTGGGCAGTGTTCACAGGCTTGTCCCCATGCTTTGCCTCCAGCACAACAGCAAGTATCCAGTGTCACTGGAGTTAACAGATTCAATGGTGTCTCACATACACCCCTTGGTAAAGACACATAGCAGGTGCCAACACGATTATCTATTGAATACAGACAACAACAAAACAATTAAATATTTATTATTAGTTGGTGTTTACACAAGATTATATAACAAATGGAATAGTTTTATCATCATTCATAATCTGTCACTAACATAAGAATTTTTTTCTTTGCTATTTTTGTCAACATCCTTATTACATTATCACCGCAATCACGATCATTACAACCAAATAAACATTTCCAGCACCACTACCCTTATCGTCGTCACTGCCAGGGCAGAGGCTGATGGTTGACCCTTTAAGACTTACGACTGTTTGCCACAACACCGTATTATATTATTGATAAGTCATCATGCTGTTTGTTTTATAATCTAAATGTAAAGTGCATTGAGGCACTGCGCAATATGCGCTATATAAATGTAAATTATTATTATTATTATTATTATTATTATTATTGTTATTATTGTTATTGTTATTATTATTATTATTATTATGTTAACAAAACCTACCTTAGGGAGAACTTAGACAATGGAGAAATTGGAAAAAAAATTTAAAAAACGACGTTAAGGGGAAAACAACATGACGTTAAGGGGAAAATAACACAAAAGATATTCCCCTTAAGTCCGACTTAGCGCATATTATTATCACATTCACCATCATCATCATAACTGTCATGATACTAAAGTTGAAGCTTTTTACCAAGACATTCTATTCCACTTTGGCTGGTAACATAGCCATTGTTACAATCACATCTATAACTTCCTTCAGTGTTCATGCAGCGACCATTAAAACACAGATTCCGTTGAGTTCTACACTCATCAATATCTGCAAAAATAATTAAATTTAAATAAACATAAATAAACCATTTACATACAGAATTTATTTAAAATCACGGTTTGGGGTGCCAACAACATGAAATGAAGATGGTCAAGGAATTTCACCAGAATCACGGACAATCGGTGGATGAAATGTAAGAGATACAAAGAACAGAAGGAAGATGAAATTGTAAAATTTGCCAACATCACTTGGATGAGATCTGTACAGACGAGTACAGTAAATAGCCCCTTGCTGGGGAGGCCTTTACTCTGCAGAGGGCCAGTAATGGCAAAAGTGGCAATACATGACATCAGATCAAACTTACCGACACAGACGTCCCCTCTTCGAGTGACGGCTCGCAGACCAGGTGGACACACGCAACGGAATGTACCAATCAGGTTCTTACAATCAAATCTGCAGTTATTTGCAGAAGTTATGCATTCATCTAAGTCTGTATATAGTAATAAGAAATGAATGAGAAATAATAGTAAAAACAATAACATAATATACAAATAATCATTTACAAATGGATTGAAGATAGGTGCAACAAAAGCCACAGCCATAAAAATAATTATAATATCAATAGATATGATAATAATAATAATAATAACGCTTGTAGCGGAGTTGAATAGAGAAATCCTGTCAGATTTCTGGATATTTTCTCAAGACCAAATAACCCTACTGCTTAAGCCTCGTTATAAGTTTATGTAAACATTCATGTGTATATGTTTGTCATGTGAAGGGCTTGCCATCTATCTGATAGGACTACAGTGATTCAGTCTCTATTGGCAATCCTTGGGCATGTGCCTAAAGGAAGAAAATAAATATAACAATAAAATAATAATAAAAGGAATTACCTTCACAACTTTTACCATCGGGCTTCAGAGTATATCCTCTAGGACACATACATTCGAATGATCCCGGTAGATTCTTACAACGGAAAGCACAATAGTTACGGTTTCGATGACACTCATTGATGTCTAAAAAATAAAACACAAATTGATATAAATTAATACTTATTATTGTTATTTGATATTTTGATGTTTATTTTCATAATATAATTGTAAATACCATGTTATTTTTAGAAAAAATGTGTATTTTTGCAAACATTGTACTAGCCTACACTTGGTTTCTTTTAATACCACATTGAAATAAAATAAATGAAATATATTATTATAACAGTTTTTAACATTTGATCTCAACACAAAATATTTCAAAAATATTTTTAAATATATTTATATTTTTATTTAGTTATATTTTTATATATTTATAGATATTTTTTTTAATATTTTGTGTGTAACAAAAAATATATTGACGTTCACAAGGATGAATACATAAATTTACATACAGCAGTGGTTGTAATACAAATTTCTGAATAAAAATGTACAGTAAAATGTTGATATTTTTAATTGAAACCATGTATTTGAATTTTTAGTGATACCATCTGTTACTCAATGTCTCAATGTTATCATATTTCTAATTAATTTTTAATAATTATTGTATTGGTTTCTTCTATATACTCTCATATATGTATTACAAACCCTGTATTTAATGTTTGCATAAATATTTTTTAAAAGCTGTGTACCTTCACAGATGCCATTGTATCCTGGTTGGAAGCCTGGACCACAATAACATTGGAATCCACCCGCTTGATTCACGCAGGTACTGTTGAACCCACAAATATTTCCATTTTCTGCACAATCATCGATGTCTAAGCAATAAGAAAGTAGAAATCTTTTATAACAAAATGTAGCATTCATGAGCATTTTATTATTGTTGATATAGATCTGACAAACGAAGTATTTATTGTGTAAATGCTTGAGAAGAAAATATTAATTAAAGAATTTTCAGAATCACAGTGGAATATGCAATATTCAGTTTTGGTGCGCCAACTGAAATTCCTGACCAGAAAGCACTTTGAGAAGATATAAAATGGTCAACGAAACTCTGGGGGGACAAAAATGTACATGGATCTCAATAACCAATAAACAAATTATGTCCATAAACAGTTAGACCCAGAAGGCATTGAAGATCTGCTGCCCCTGGCAAATAATCAATTTACTTCCAACAATATTTGCAGAAACCCTATGCTGTAAGGCAAAAGCGAATTGATGATGCAATACAATTTCCATTCACTTTGAAAATATGCCATCAGTTTCATGGCTTTAGCATCTGAACCCTGAACCCAGTAAAACCTCTGCTCCAATACACTACTAAAGGACCCCCCTCCCCTTACATACCCTTCAATTTACTGTATGGGCTACCACTTAATCTTAACCTGTTTATACATTAATAAATGTCTTTATGCAATAAAAAGTAAATAAAATGACACAAATCAATATCTGCCTCTTATACACATCT